ACACACACACACACACACACACACACACACACACACACACATATATATATATATGTATATATGTATATATATATACATGAGATTTATAACTGTTCGAACCACACAATTATATCTGCAATTAATTGATACTTTCAGATAGTTTGTGGCGAAAATTAAGATACGGAGCATATATTAATCTACCCCGTACAGATATCACTGATTCTTTGATATTTTGAAGCTTTTTATTTGGAATGCCAAGGTCTCACCAAATTTAACGATCATCCGGTGGTTTTCAATTTCGCAAGTAATTGTTCAATATGGAATACATTGCACAACTAATTTACATGGGTATGTAACTTGAAGAGTGGAGAATGTCGACTTCTCAAGTTTGTTCTCATGTATCAATATTGTGTTCATCGCGCTCCCTCCTCAGAATTTACACTTTCCCTTACTGGGGTATCCACAGTAATAGGGGTAATCGTACCTAGTTTCGAAAGGATACAGGCAACCCTTCTTCTTCACTTGCTTGAACTGCGCTGCAACGGTGCGTTCATATACCTCGCGTCCTTCATCGTTGTCGAAAGTAGCGGGCAAACTCTTATCGGACAAAGCCCTCTCCTTGGCATACTCGTTGACGGCATAACACGTCTTGTCAGTATATTGCCCAAAATATGCGGTATGTTGTTCATATGCGGCGCACATTCCGTCAATGGCTATTGAGCTTGGGGTCGACGCTATAGAGTATGGGCAGTACCAACTGGCAGGGGTGTCACTTTCGCAGAATACCGATTCCGCATTATTCAGACGTGTTGCCTCAGCTTCAAGTGCCGGTTGGCCATCATCACTGGTGCATTCGGTTTCGTATGAATCTTTAGAGCTGTAATCACCAGTAGGCAAGAGGCAACTTGACATGGTCTTCTCGAATGCGAAATCGTTCTACTCTTTGCATCCTCGGTCCTTTTTGATCTGAGCCAAAGAATAGCATACGCACATCAGGTTACTGACATATTCCTGACCCTCCGCATCGCAACTACTTCCAGGTTTTCACAGCAAATACTGCCACAGAATGACTGGTCATCTGGACAATGTGGATCCTGACTACACTCCCGTCTTCTTTTAAAAGCTGAGATCAGAGTTAACACCTGCTTGGACTCTGCGCACACAGGTTCACCCCCAGATGCTTTTATATCATGGTAGAGACAGGTGATAGTATCTGGTTCTTCTATCTTCTTGCAGCAAATTTCCTAGCAGTCTTCGAGGTTGTCTTTGGCAATGTACGTGTCTTGCTTGTCTTCATCGAGCTCGTAACCGACGTGACAGTAAGTGCTTCCAAATACCGATTCAGTTGAGAATAGATCTTCGAACACCGACTCGTTAGTCTCTGAAAAACACGTCGTGTAGCAGACGTCTTCTGTTGGAATAATAACTTTTGGCTTTTTCTTATAGGCGCCGCGCCGGGGACCAGAGTTACTACGGGGAGGATAGATAGGTCTTCTGGACCAACTGTTTCTCACAGGCTGGGGGAAACGAAACGCATCTACTGGTGCGAGTAGCAGGATTGAGACAACGATAGTAGAAGTACCGGCTAGCATCTTGTATTACTTCCACAGACAATGTTAAATAGCGAGGAAAAATATGAGATAGAAACCGGGAGAGATTGCACCTTTTATAGTCTGAAAGTGATATCTCATATTTAGAATCAAAACTAGAACAAGCAATTATTTTTAGGCTTTCGATTATGTCAGTTGTGATTCACGTGTGAAGTTGTGTTTTTGTTTTTGTTTTTTGTTTTTTGTAAAAAACAGAATACCAAAAAAAACAAAAACTAAAGTATTTATTTTGTTGTAAAAATAAAACAACACATATTTTTAAATACATATGTACATACCAAGCTATTTTTTATTTATAAAAAACCCCCCCCCATCTTTGTTTTTGTAACAAATGTTTTGTTTTTTTGTTTATGTTTAAAACAAAAGGAGAAACTATTTACGCAAACTCTTTTTAGTTTTTAGAGCATATCAAATTTCTACTGGCGGAACCCCGATACCCCCGACAGTCATAGTTCACAAATACTGTAGGTCATATCTCAGATCATAAACAGCCTTTGTTTCTTATCAGAAAAAAACGAATCAAAGCATAATATTTATTTATTTATGTGATGCAGTCATGCAGTCGGATATATTTACCTAACCTTTACAGTTTTTAAATACATACGGCTCCGCTTTACCTCACCCTTAAAAATATACTTGTCAATGGGGGTTTTTTTTTGGAAGTTTCAAAAATAAAATATCCAGTGTGATTACTGAATACTGTTAGTGATTAGGATTGTGTAAAGGAAGCCATTGCCGCAATGAAGAAAAAAAAATCCGGCCATTTTGATGCGGCCAATATCGGACCATGACAGCCCATGTGGTGGCCAATATTTTGATTGTTGACAGTCGGCGTCCAAAACATTGAAATACTCTAAAGAAACCGCTTCAACGAGTATCAAGAGGGCTATATGCCATAGCCTTTTAAAAGAAACGTATACGCAGAGATTGTCGAAGAGAAGGCACTCTCTAAGGATACGACTACAAAGCCTAAACAGATTTATGTCGTCGGTTTGACACAGAGGGAACACTGACGTCAGATAGAGTATTAGAGTTTAGGGGTTAGAGTTTACTGCCTTTGGGTTCATACTGAAGTAAGATTTCATGGTTATACCATCGGTTCCGAATCAGATCTTCTTTGCTCTCAATCTCTTTCTTCTGTCTGTCCTTGCTGACGCACCTTTATAGACAGCCCCTCATAGTTTGTTCAAATACATTCCATTATCTAGTCATCTAGTAAAACGTCCACGATAGTTTCCTTCCTATCAGAAGCACTATCCTCGTCACTAATCAACTCAATATCATCAGGTTCAAATTCTTCATCTTGTATAACTGCAGAAAACTTGTTCGTTTGTCTGTCGCCTAAGTTGTGTCCCCTCATCCGGCCATCACTAAAGTGCCTTGACCTGTTCGACTTGCTTATCACAAGAAGAGCTGCCAATTACAAAGTTGCACACATTCTACTTATAGTATAGTAATAGTTCGGCAAATTCTCATAATAGTGTTTTCTAACTGTGGGAGGAAAAACACATTTCAATGGGGACTCTAAGATATCAATTGTCAGGTATTTTGGGGTATTGAAAATTGTGCCATAATTGTCTCTAAAAGTGTCTGATATCGACCCAAATAGTGTACATAATGGTATATTCAAAACGGTCAATTTTTTAAAATTTTAGGTTTTGGTGGCGCTCAAAAAACCCCATTTTTTTCTTCGAAAAATTGTCGTGATATTCAAGAGTAAGTCAATACAAGCCGTTTCCGCTATCTAACTCCACGATAGGGTCAGTAGTATGCCCTGTCAAAGTCCGGCCTGGAGTAGGGTGATGTACATCCGTCTGCTGGTACATAAATACAAGAAACTGTAAACGATAGTCGACCTATAAAATAATTCAACGACTCGATATCACTCGAGAGTCGACAGTTCGCCTAAGTCTCGAGTTCTCGACAGCAGTTAGTTTAATAACACAAAGTCCGGCATTACGGCAGTGGCAAGTTGTAACTGGCACTGGCACTGACAGTAAAGCGACGGCAGTATATACAGTATTTTATATATACTAAACGTGGTATTATCTATTTTTTAATTAAAAGAATATGAAATATCTATTTGAAAATATATATTTACGTAGTGTCGAGTGTCGACTGTCGACTCGGCGACGTCGGCGCGCTTTTGGGAAACAAGTAAAAACAAAAATATATAGATCCAGATTTGAGAGCGCAACTGGGTTGTAAAGATTTAGTTGTTTTACAGTTTTCAACTCCCATTATGCGAGTTGTGCGATGTTATGAGTAACTCGCTATCGATCAATAAATATCGGAAAGTGTTTTTTTTAGAAAAATAATATGGGCAGACAAGTAGAGTTATTTAGGGTTTACTGAGATATGTACTAAGAGTTATAAGTTATACATGAAAATTAAAAATCACCAAAAAAAAATATGCACTGAATAAAGATTATCAGTTTAACAATAATTAGCTATTTACATACGATCTGGTGGGAAGAAAATCTCCAAGGAATGCCATTCGAATCTAGATTGTATTAACGTCACTTGTTAATGACCAATCTGATCTTTCTGATGACCAATGCCGTTTACCAAATAGCGTAAAATTATACTCGGGATTTGCTCGCGTATCTTGGAAATATTGGTGTTGTGCTATACTACTATAAAAGGAATTGACTATATCTAGTAAACTGTCATATAAATTTATAGTGCTGCTCTGGACTGCCTATCGGACGGTTTCAAGGAGTTTTATTAAAAGATAGTTTGACTGTTTCGTGTTTCTCTCTCTATGTGCAAGTAATCAAGCTGTCTCAAGTGTCAAGTCTCGTAGCAAAGTGTATTTTGGCTAAGATCCAACACATAGACGGTAGTAAGTCCAAATAAAACATAGAACCATATATATAAAAAGCAGCAAAGTGTATTTTAGCTATATGAATCCCTTTTTTTATTTGTTACAAAAGGGTAAATTAGAAACTGTAGACGATAGATTTGAAATTTGGGTTTTTTTTCAACTTCAAGATTCGTTTACTGATGGGAGAACAGTTTCATTTGTTCTGCATTATTACTCAAGAGTCAGAACTCTCATCTCATATCTGTCTCTACAAAGTTCAAGCAATGCCGCAGAGTCAATTGCTTGCCTTGTCTGACTGTCTACTAGTAGTGGTCAGCGGGGTACTGCTTCACAAGTTAACGAGGCCAAGGTCCCACGGCCACGGACCACGGGTAGTTATATATATATATAACATGTACTGCATATGTATATAGATATACACAACAGTGCAAGTCAAGTCGAGATAACATACCGATTGTTCCCGTTAAGTTTACTATTTCTACGCTATTCATCGCTATTTCTACGGGCCATTTGAGCTGTGCCGGAGGGACAATCGCTATATTAATTTATCTACAAAGTTCAGTTTCCCATTCCATATTGTTCGCTCGAAATCCCGTATACCCATTCCTACCCGCCACAAAAGGCCGAGTTAAATTCGACGTGTTCATAATTATATATATGCATGCATGCATATATATATATATAATATATATATATATATAAAATAACATACATATATATATATATATATATATATATATACCTATATACAAATGTACATATACGCCTATATATCTATATATATTTAAATATACCCATATATATATATATGTATGCATGCATATACATTCAAGCATGTGTGTATGCATGCATGCATGTATGTATGTCTGCATGTATGTATCATGCATGGATGTATATATGTATGTAAGTTTGTATGTACATACATACATACATATATTTATATATAGATATAG